TAATCCTTCGAAACTAACTTCAACGGTAACAATTAGTAATAAACACAAAGGCAGCTTAAATAATGAGAGTTTCACTCGTCGACGTACCCTCGAGGTCCCTCCATCTTTTACAGAGTTAGATGTAAGCACCCAAATTTCAAATCTTAAAAGTAAAACAAAGCTAAGTCTTAGTTTTAAAACTAATGAAAATAAGCACGATACTAGTATTGCTATCGCTAACAATGAAATATCTTTTGAAAAATGGTTAAAGGAACAACAAAAATTACAAGTTTTGGAGAAACAAATGCTTTCTAGTATACCAAGAAAAGATAAGAAAATCGAACATACAGTTTATAGAAACTGTTTCAGTGGCACAGATGTAACTACTTGGTTAGTTAATGAGTACCTCCAGCCTGAAACTCCAAGGATAAATGTATAAGTTGTAATACAAATATAACTTTTTTTTTTTTTTAATAAGTTTTCGTTTATAACAAGTGCTTATAGTTACCTTATTAGTGTAACTTGTACGCAACCCGAGTAATATTATATAAAAAAATCTAAAAAATAATAGAACTACTTTCCTTGACGGTTTTTAATTTTTCTCTTATATACTTAGTTGTGAAAAGTAGGTGTTATTCGTAGTTTGAGCAGGGTAGTGTATAAGAAAGTATGAATTATCAAGCTTAAGATTTTGTTCAAGACAAATAGTCGTAGCGTCTTTTATCTCGAGCCATATTTGCCTTGTAACAGTAACTTATTAAAAAAGGTCTCTCAGTTGTTTTTAATTTTTTTTTCTAAAATATAGGCGCTTCGCCTTGGTCAGCTACTTTTGCAGAACCACATTCTGGAAGAATGTGGGAGGAAAAATGGAATTTTTATAATTTCGTCAAAGTTGTATTACAGATTTTCCAGTGAATCTAAGTTATATCCAACTTCAGAAGAAGTCAAAACTTTTAAAAAGACAAAAGTACCCGTTAGGCTTCAAATCTTGTTTAATTCTGAGCATATAGTTAGGGCTTACCCCGGTAATCTGTTGCTAAAGAATATTGTGAGGATGTTGGAATTAGAACACCAAGACAAAAAACCCAATGAGTACGTAGAAAAAGTATACAGGATCTATGGCACGCTTATACCTTTGGAATCTCCCATTTTTGAAGTCTTAGACCAGGATGATATAATTATTATTGAAACTAAGTAAGTTGTAGACTTGCCTACCAATAAATTTTGGTTTTTTAACCTTTTTTCTAAGCTTTAAATAAAATTATAAAAAGTTGTAGCATCTACTTAAACCTACGAGGTCAAACAGCATTAAAAAGGTTATAAGCAATTTCAAGAAATAATTTGTGTAGCATATAGGAGTTTTAAGGAATTAAAGTTCTTCCCCATCTTACTCGTAGTATATAGCTATAGCACCCACTATAAGGTAGCGGAGGTTAACGAGAATTATTTAACTATTAATAACGTCGCTAAATACACAAACAAAAGGGCGCTAACCCGACTACTACATTATTCTCACACAAGCTCAGACACACCCAAAAACTGTTTGCGGAGCCTTCGCCGAACGTTATTCACACCCCCTAAGTTAAGGCGCATACCGCCAACTATCTCGAACATTCGAAAATCTTTAATAAACCTACAAAAGACCTCAGAAAAGTCTTTTAATTGTTTAATGCTGCACACATCCCGGATCTGCAAAAAGCCATTTGATAAGGAGTGGCATAACGACAAACTTATGTACAAAATAATAACTAACGAGTTTTTTTACTTTAAATGTTATGTCACAGTAAATTTATGTCATCTAAAATGAGAAAAGGGTAAATTTAACTAGGGTTCTAAAGTCATTCTTCCCGTTTCCGTCCTCTTTACTAAAATTTTTCATGGTTACTATTGAGGAGCACATAGTTATTTGAGTTGTTTATTCGATCGCTCCCTCGAAGGAGCACTTCCTTGAAGAGTTCTACAGGTTTAACACCATACCGTGAACATTGTGCGGAAACATTAATAAGATAGTTGTTGGTTAACTTCAAGGTGGGAATCAGTTATGCAAACTTTTTTTTGAAACGGGTGTAACATGACCTATAAAGCTTTTTTATTACAGTTAACCTCGCAGACAAATTACTGAGAGCGAAGACTTACGTACGTAAAAATTAGGATGGCTTCTATACAATTTTACTATTATCTCTCCACATTTCAGTTGCGCGTTCCCCCTCGGGAGTCATTTACTGTCTATAAAATACTATTCCTTCTAATTAAAAGCCTTTTTTTAATTAAACTCCTTAAAAGTTAGAGTATTAATGATCACGTTAAGCGTTATTGCTATGGCAATATCCTTATAACCTGCTTGTAACTAATTGAATTCTTTATTAACTTGTTTTAATAACTATTAAGACTAACACTGATATTTCAAATTATGAGCTATAATTACCTTTTTTAAGGTATATTTCTTAAAGTAAGAGTTCAAATTTATTTTTGATATTTTATTTTAATCCACAAACAGTTTTATTGTCGCTAAAATATAAATGTTAAAGAGGCAATATGAATACATATATAAAAATATCAAGCAAAGGATAATATACAAATTCATTAAACTAAAACACAATGGCAGATGAACTAAAGGCCTCCCCTCACCCGTCGTTGTAACTTAGCTTATGTAGGCCATAACATGATTACTTTTTTAACAGAATAAATAGTATTAATTTCTAGATATAAGTCTAAGATCCCTCAAACGGGTTTATACCGTAGTGCTAACGTTTACTTACGACTTCATGGTCACTGGGTTGTGAATTTTACACAAACTTTAATATTACAAGGTAAAATGTTTAGAAGATAGTATATAAAATTTATTTTTTTGCTTTAGTGTAAAGCAAGATAGAAAAATATATCTTGCATATAAAAGTATAATGATAAAGAGAAGGAAATGCATGAAACATTCGAATGAGGTCACAGAACCGCAACCAACTTATTTTTCACTAATTCACTTAAACTTTGTTCAATGCATAAATGCGTGCTTCCTGCTAGTCACCACAATTTTTTAGTATTATGTGTAACTTGCATTATTTTTTATATAATAGAAAAGATTACTAGACGCGACAGAAGTACTAGGATATAAATACTTTGTTTAGAATAGTATGGCTTCACTGTCCAATTAAGGAATAAAATTAAAAATTAGTTCGTTTTCTTCTAAACTTTTATGTAATCATTACAACTAAGAATTCGATTTTGTTCACATATAAACGTAAAAGTAAACTATGATTACTTCCGCATGTTCAAATGAAACTAAGACGTAATGGCAACTCAATATGTTTTATAAAAAACTTTTTTTAGCAGTTTAGTCGCTATCATAAATAAAAAAAAAATAGAAATGAAATACTTAAAATAAACCCCCAACAAGAGAATTAATCTATTCATGAAAATTTGCTTAGACTTACGACTCTTAAAAAGTGTATAAAGTAAACTTATTTAGGTTACATACATGTTCCTTCTTACTACATACTTTATATGAGGATTCCTACGACCAAATAACTTTGTAATTAATAAAAATCATTCATTATAAGTCCAAGAAATCAAGGTGGACCAATAATTGGTGATATGTAATTCCAAGATTGGCGCTATCGCGAGTAGTGGTTATAAAAGCATAGATATATCTAACCCAAAGGTAGGAATAAATGTATAATAAAATTATTAGACAAATTATATATACAACACGGTAATTAGGCTGCTCTTCTATACCACGACGCGTTCCACACGGGAAAGAGAACTTAAAAAAAATTCCCTTTTACGGGGGTATGCTATCTCATATTCTCTATTTATATCCATATGCTAATTAATGCACGTGGCTTACTATAAATGAAATGATAAACAAAATAAAGGCCAAATCAATTTAGCCACATAGCTACCAGTTAAAGATAATAAAGGACGGCTTCATAGTATTTTTAAGTTTTCAATTCTATAACTATAAAAAAAATTGAAAAAATGTTCCATAGTCTACAGACCACTAGTACGTGTACCACCCTTAAAACTGACTTGGTGGCGGCAAGTTTTAGAGTTGCGATCAGTTTCGACGAAATTAAAGTTTTATTCAGTCATTAGAAGTATCTCTTTAACTATTAACCGCTTTTGTATTCGTGTAGATCGTATTTATTTCAGAAGTGAGGAAATTTCTATTTATAATATTTTTAGTACAAACTTTTTAGATGCCTTACATAAGGCTAGAGGTATTTAGTTTCCCAGAGAACCTTGATATATGTATTATTGACATAAGATGAACATTAATCACTGCGAGCTTAAAAATAAGTATATAGCCCATTGTGAGTTAGCGGTCGTATTTGGTTTGCCCACGAAGGGTCACAGAAGCATTGTACTAACAGCTTAATTTCTTTAATTAACCTTAATTCAAGTCAAATATAAGCGTATTTTAATGCTTGTATAGTGCGCTTCATGTGTTCAACAGTAGAAAAGGTGTTTGAATTGTGCTATATAAATGTATATGTCGTCATTGTTCCATAATGATTCTTCTAGTCTGCAGGAGTAATCATTAGCACCTCCTCATAAAGATTGGTGGGATCATTCACTTGTCAGCACAATCTATTTTACTGTTGAATTTAATTACTGGCTTATTTATTATAATATTAAGTTTTATATGCCCCTTTGATGCCGTTTGAGCTTTAAAATAGGGTTATTCCTATCTCGTAAAGAACACCGTTTTCTTATTAAAAAAGCAAATAAAGAACAAAAGCGGGTAGGAAGATTTTTTAGGGGCACGATAATTCTTAGTAATATCACATAATGGAGATTTTATATTTCTTATCTATAAAGAATGAACCAGACATCTATCTGTAAAGTTATAGTTATCACTTTTCCAGCCTTACTGAAAAAGTGAGAATGACTAGCATTTAAGTTGTATAAAAGTGCGTTTCGTTCGAAATCCTATCTTATTAGGTTTTAAGCGTTTTTTCCGAGTATAAATCTTATACAATAAAACTTTATTTAAATATTTTCAATGTTCTTCTCAAGGTGTGCCAGATGTAAACAGTCTCCTTTGCATTAAAAGTAAAATAGGAAAGTAAAGAAATCCATAGTGGTTATAAGTACATAGAAATTTAAACAACTAAGTATGAATTGTTATAATATTTTTTCTTTTAAGAAACGCAAGACTTCCCTCCAGCGTTTTTACACTCTTCAACGGCTTCTGGGTATTGTTCCACAAACTGACGGACATCAAACTTACGCTGGCAACCTATAAGGTAGCAATCTTTAGTAAAGGTTCTTTACTAAAGTTGGGCTAAAAATCTACAGTGGCTTATGTAAACCGTACTTTTAAATTTATTCTGTATTTTCTTGGCAAAATAAATTTATTGACCTCTTATAGTGAATCGTACTATGGATAACAAAAATAAATTTTTCAATTCAAAGGAAAGCTGATTAACTTAATTTTACTATCCCAAATATTTAAAGCCAGCCACAAATATATAACGAAACGTCTTTAGTAATACATATTGCAGCGTGCGTCACAAAATACTCGCCTTTTTTAACAGTACGAATAGCGACCAAACGAAGCAGAATTAATCAGTTCAAGGCGTACATTGGCTAACACTTTTCAAAACCTTTACAAATAAGGGTGTGGAAACTGTTTAAAAACAAAGAACTCTTCTACTTTGTTCTACTAAGCAACAGTAGTAAATAGGAGGGCTCTATCCACGGCTAATCATACCTTTAACTTTTAATAATATGTAGTGCAGATGTTCGGTAAAACTTTGCCAGACTGCTTATTTTGCTAGTAACTTAGTTTATATTGCGCAGTTCGTTCTTTGAAAATTCTGGTACAGCGCAGAACAATACACATCATTCTACAGACGTTGTATAATTTTTATGGCTAAACCACCTTTATTTTCACTTTACTTTATATTTAAGTTGATAAAGTTTATTAAGTGCCCTATGAAGCGAACGAAAGCTACATTTTTCATTTAAAGGAAACAAGGCTTGTTATTAAACTAACTGGCTCTACTTCAATTATTAGCTCTGAGCAAATAACCTTGTAATGTTTATTTATAGTAAAAATTTGTAGAATGCAAACCTGCTAGGTGGATAATAATCTTAAACTACTCTTTTCAATTTTTTAAAGCTTTGCATCGGTATCTGGTCTTAGTAAAGTATGTCAATATTGAAATATGGGTTTTGTTATTGAACCACAATAATCAGACTTCATAAAACAATATTAATAATAAAGGATTTAGAATTTTTTTTTACCTTTGTAATTCATGTACCGAATTTTTCCAAAAACCGGACGTTCTTTCCAGCCTGAAGCGAATATTAAAGATTATATGTTATTAACTGTACTATAAAAGTTTACATTAAACATATAAAAAATATTTAACTTTATTTCTAAAGATAATATTATAATCTATACAATATTCGTGAATGTCATTTTTAAAACTGCTAAACAATTTATTTCCGTATATCTATATAAAAATAATACTATTGTAGTTTTTAAGTAAGCTTGTGGATATGCAATTTCTTTAATAGAGTTTTAAAGTTTTTTTTTGCTTAATAGATTTACGGATGACACTAAGATTTATCCAAGGTTTTAGTATTACTTCGATATTCTGAAACTATTATAAATATTGTATAACACTGCAACTAAAGTGCGAATTTCAATACAATCTTTAGACGTTGAGAATATTTTTGAGGACCTAACCATATTAGAATTGTTACAACACAAGTATTGATAACTCTCAATATATATAAGTGTACAAAATACTTGACCTAAGTTTGTTGTTTATATATATTTTAAAGCCTGCCTTCTTTTAAATCTTATATTTTTTTGAAAGTAAGGTTAATTTAATTTAATTAAATGACAACATATTCTTCGTCACCTTATATATAATTATTATTATTATTATCGTTATAGCACCCTGATCGTGCACGCCGCAGATGGACCACATGCAACCCACATAGCCGTTGGGATCGTTCCCGTCCAAGTTGTATTTATCATTTAGATAAATAGCTATACTGAGCGCCTCGGTAGCACAGGTGGTCCATTCGAGAATCTTTTTTGCCCAATACTGTCATCGAAAATAAGGATTATCACATTTATAAATATTGCTTATATAAAAAATCATTATATATATAAATTTAAAATTCAGCACAAAATTAAGTTGTCGTGTTGTGATAGTTTCATAAAAACTCTAACCACTTAGATTAAAAAATTACTGTAATAAAATGTATTTCAGCTGTAAAAAATATCAAAAGTTTAGAGCGGCAAACAATTATAGCAAGAAAGGTTCAAAAAAAGTTTACTTTCAAAGAAATTTTAAAAAACCGAGTTAAGCAACGAGAAAAGTGGAGAGTTGCGAATATAAATGCAAAATGATAAAGATAAAAGATAGTTTATACAAAAAAATTAGGGAAACACTTTAGGACCGAATGTAGTAAGACGCGCCGGCTTATGCAATTTACGAGGGGACGGACCCTGCATAGCCCTTGTCACGGCTTTTCTAACTGAGCAGTGTGTTATTCTGAGGTACAAACATAGAGTAGAGAAAGTTGTATTAATGTACATTGGCCTCGCACCAACTGGATTCTTGGCTAAAGGTATATGACATACATCCACTAAGAAAAGCATTAGTTATTTAGACAGCTCTTAAAGTTCTGGAGCTGCCTTCGCTAAAAAGGTGTATGCAGAAACAACAGCGGTGCTGGAGGAGCAGGCTTAAAAGAATAGGGGTTATAAGCAGGAAGCAAAGGAAAGTGCACGTGTGATGCTCGAACGGTCTGAAAGGGGGCGAAGTAGACCCCAATGATAAGCAGCAACTGCCTGAGAATTGACCAGATGTTACCAAATTAAAGAAAATTAAACAAAATATTTTAAATAAATAGTATAACGCTCAGAGACACTATCAAAAAAAATGATAGCCGAATAGCAGAACTCAAGTTGTGTGATTTGACCTTAAGTGTTACTCCATCCAATTTTTGGTACATAAAAGTTGTCTTTGGTTTTAGCTAATATGAAAAGTTATGAAGAATTGTGGATACCATTCGTAGAAAGCCGTGCAATTTTCCATCGTAGACCAACTGCAACTGTGAAGCGTTCCACAAATCGTCGTAAGTTTTTCTATTAATTTATACATTCCATGGATATAACGAGAAAAAAAACTTGTATTCAAATAAGCTTCAAGACCCTTTTTCCAGTTGATTTTTAGAGTATAATTTTACTCGCTTATCATCCTGGTGGGCCCGAAGCGTGGCTTGTGCCCAGGAAGGTGCGCCTTAAACAAAACGTATAATAAAAGGTAAACCGGCTAACTTCATTGATTCCTTATCATTAATGACTATATTTTTACTTTTTGTAATAATTATGCAATCAACATAAATAACACCGCTTAAAAAAAGATAACTTTTTTTATTATTCTACAATCTACTTTAAATAGAAAATGTTCTAAGAAAATAATATAATCAAACCGTTTATATTATCATAGTTATGGTTATAATAACAAAAGTTATCGGAAAGTTCTCTTCTGACAAACGACTCTTCAATAAACGCATTAATATTTTCCCTTCCTTTCAAATGAGCTGCGCCTTTTCATATAAAAATATTGAAAGTTAAAATTGTTATAGTATTTTTATTATTATTAATATTATAATTAGTATTCTTATTATATATATAACATACTTTTTGAAGTATATATTAATGGGAATTAAGAACCTTGAGCAACAAGCAAACTACGTAAAGGCGAGAGCATCCCAAAGTTAAAATAAGGACTTAAGTTGCTTATCACTTTGGCGTTAGGATCATTTTTTTTTCCCGCTGGTAAATATATATTTTTACTAAAGTGTAAATATTTACGCTTCTCAAAGTTATTATTATTATTATATCACAAATATTTTTTAAAAAACCGTAATAACAAACTCTCGGGTTTATTTTTAATAAAAAATCTTCTAAGGCTTCCATGGCCGCGGCTTCTCCTGGCAAAGCCCATGTGACTTCCGCCACTGTTTGGTCCATAGAGGCACTCTCAATAATCTCTATCCAGTTTATAGAATCTTTTTTTTTAACTTTTTCTAATTGTAAATAAATTTTCTATAAATAAAAAAATTACTTGTAAAAGTATGAGGTAAATTACCATATAAATTTGCAGCCTGAACTGAAATTGGTGGTAATTCCCGCGCAAATTCGTTAAGATGACGATAAAGTTTAGAACGTATAGTCCTGGCGCTGTACTCTTGTTTGTCGCTGGCAGTCCAACAGGGAACCTAAAAAATATAGTATTTCTTCTGATTAGTGACTTTTCTCTTATTTTTAGTTATTTATTATAATAAAGGCTACTTATAAATTCTATTAATATTTCGAGGCTCAAATTAAAGTTAAAAACCTTAAATGCTAAAGTTATTAGAAATAAAAAACTCAATTAATTATAACTAAACAAATTTATTTTTTTAAATGTTCTTCAAGAAAATATGTAGAATAAAATGAATAGAATATAAAGCTTACAATGTTATGGGCATCCACCTCCACTAAAGAAACATTCAATCTACTCAAAGCTTGTGAAACTTTTAGGCGCCACTCGCGCTTTTCTTTTAGCGGAGAAAAATCTACCACGGCACACCCCAACTAACCAGAAGCATTTATCATGTTATATATATAATTCGACTATATTCAGAAACTTACTAACTGTAAAATATATTTAGTTACGCCCATGTTTTTACTAAATAATAAAAAGTTAATGTATTTACTTAAAATCTACTAAAATGGAAGTATTTGCGTAATAAAAGTCAGTAAACAACTACAAATTTTCGGTAAGGTAAATAATAAAAAATTAAAATAATAATTTAAAACACTTTTTCGGCCTGAGCGAAGTTAACAACTTCGTCTTCAAGGGATCCTCGGATGAAATGAAACGGAATGTTAAGTTGCTTAAGCCGCCAGTCAACTTCAGCAAGACCTATTAGTTATGCCAAAAATTACTAAGAAAAGTTTTGTTTAAGGTTATCAAGAACTTTGAGAAGAATATAAAAAACCTTTAAGCAGAAAAAGTTCATATCTTGCGGTACGAAACCGAAAGGAGTTTGGGTAAAAGTAAAACACTTGCAGCGGCAAGTTATAATTGTGTGAAAGTTCACTTGCATACAAAAGAGCGTGATTATCGCCTAAATTATAAGAATGTACAAGCAAAAAAGCAGGTTTAGAAGAAGTTGACTTATACCCACACGCTGATCTCTTTCCATCCAGTAAGCGACGCATTCGCTGGATGAAGGTAAAGTAGGGTAGGACTCATGTAATTCAACTAGGCTAGAGTTAGGATTTAATAATCTAAAATTTATTAAAAAAAAACCAGGGGAAAGTAATTAAATTTTAAATCTAAAAGCGATTTCTTTTAAATAAGTTTACTTGCCTTACACGGTGTTTATTTACAGTACTTTCGAGGGAACAGTGGTGGGACGGGAGTTTTTTAACTTTTGGAAAACTGTCAAAACTGTATTTGTGACGGCATCGCTGATTACGAGAAGATGAACTTAGCTGCTGCCCTTCCCCGCGTCGTTTCATTACGAAAATACCGGTGAACAGAAAGTGGTGAAAACAACTTCCTGAAAGAGAAGTTAACGCCCGCATGGGCAAATCGTGAAGAATTCTTTTTGCTCAAATCAAATTCGGTAATATTAATATTTAAGTTCTTTTCTTATCTTTAAGATTTTCTATTCTAACTATTAATGGCACAACTACAGATGATATAAAGCTAAGAGCTCTGTAACTCAAATTTATTTTTTAAAAAGTTACGGGAGGGGCAGGGTTATTTTTAAAAAAATTTGGCCTCTGTGCACTTTGTTGTACTTCATAATAGTTTCAACGTTTTCGAGAAGCTAACTAGAGTAGCGAATTTAATAGCTATCTTTAAAGCTGTAAATAAATTAACCGCAAACGGTCTCAATGCTTGACTATGAAGTCTCCTTGTTTTTGGCAGACATAGCGTATTGCTCTTAGCATTGCTAGGTCAAGACTTCGCAAGAACGAAAAGGTGAGCAACAGGGTTTAAACTTAATATCGATAATGAATCGCTTACTAATACCTACTTAAATAATCTTACAAATAACTGTAGCAATATGTTTAGAATTCAATCTACAGTAAGGATCTAAAATTTGAATAATTGAGGTTACTATATAATAGCTACTAAGTAATTTTTAAAGTAATTTGCGTGAATATGTATTGCATATATAAATATTTTTAAAAAAAACATGTGTGACGTACAGCTAAAAATCTCCGCCTCTTGTATTTAATAATATCCAATTTTACCTTAACTAATTTGAAGGTTGGCTGACAACGCACAAAAAATCAGATAATCCATTAAAGAACCACGCCATGCTTATCAAAAAAAAAAAAGAAAGAAAAGGGAACTACAAAACCAATTTTTGTTCGATTCCCCTCGCTTAGAACAACCAAGTCGAAGCCTCGGAGTTTTCGTGGATGACTACTTAATGGGTAGGCTTACATTAGATATGGTTAAATAAAAAAAAATTAGAAATACGACACCCGCTTAATATCCGCTGATAGACAAAAAAAAAAGTGCCCTTAAGCTTGATAACAAATACACAAAGCTTTTTAAAACCCAGCAATGTTATGCAAAAGTACCTTGGACCTATTCCTCTGCCCCAACGTAAGATTGCAACTTATGTTAAATAACTATTTACGAATGTTTACAGGAGTTTCTTGGTATATAAAATGCTCCCAATTACATCGTGAATGCGAATTGGAACCAATTTTATAGTTTATCAAGCGCTTAACTGAGGACTGCATGAAAGCATCTGTAAATCATAGTAACAGATTACTATCTAATTCCGTAATTAATAATCCCTCTTGCTTTCCCTTAAGTAGACTACCGAAATATCTCCTTACTATGTTAGACAATAACTTTAGATTAAAATTTTACTTAAAATTAATACGATAACTCTGCTAATAACAATGAATAAATAGTAATAATATTAGCGATAGTAAACTATATATTAGCGGTAAATATTAATGATATAGAAGTGGTCGAATAATAAAATCAATCTAAAATATTATCGCAACTATGATAGTAATTATGACATATTAAAAACAGTTTCTGTATAATAATAGTGACGTAGTTTAATTAAGAAGTTTTTTTGTTATTGTATCCATAAAGCTGGTGAAGGCTTACTCACATGATCTAAAAAATATTTTGAGGTAATTATTTATTTTGGCAGTTTCACTTTTTATCATGGTCTCGAAGGCAGCCTCTTTGCAGGAAAAGGGCTCTCCCGGACCCGCTCACACGGTGGAATGTAGATTAAGCAGTATAAATCATTTTACTCAGAACGAATGTGGCATTCCAGTGCAATGAATAGTAAATAAATAAATAAATAACCTCTCTTTCTTTTTCGGGGTTAACCGCTTCTTTTTTGTTGTAGTTATATGTTGGCCCAGAGGACCTGCAAAGGTCTTTGTCTTTTCTCTACTTTTTAAGCAGAGAAATATTATATGATAATGACTAGGTTAGGTACATTCCATCTTTCCACCTGGTGTTATATAAGAGGGTAATTTTCATTTGTTTAACTAGCCTAACTTTTTTTAAACTTACTCCATATATCTAGACTAGCTATTATACTTCCACCCTATTTTGCGTTAAAAAACCTTCGCCCACTTTATTATATTGGGGTTATTGCACACATCACGACTATCAAGCTTCTAGTTTTTACCCAAATCTAGAGACTCTTAACCCGTACTGTAATTATAAAAGAAGTAAAAGAAATAATGGATCTTATTTTAACTCTTCATGATTATCTGGGCCGTTATGTAACACAACCTAAACGGTCTTACAGATCCACATTTCCTACCTCCACTCCAGCGAGCTTATCAAGGGAGCTATCATTGAGAAAGAAACGGGTCGCACTACTGCGTATTTATCTTTCATTGCGATTAATTCGCGGCTAAGTTTGAAAGAAGAACCGTTTAATTCAAGTAAACCCTATGTAATTCCATTTAAAAAGAATAGAAAAAGTAATAATGACTTGGTAATTTTATAAAAGTAATAGCTTTTTGTACTTCTTTTTTTAGGTAGAGAGAATTCTATACTTTATCCCTAGATCCCTAGCAGAGGGTTGATATGACCTTTTAAGTTGTTAATAGCAACCTTTAATTTAATTTTAATTGTACGTTAAAGAAACCTATTGTGTTTTTAAAGTAGCCAAACACCTTATTTTTAGTATTAACCTTATAGTAAATATTTTAATAGACAGAAAGTCGGATAAGGGCAGTATAAGTAAACTTATATCTATCATTCTAAAAGTACAAAGGAGTTCAACATAATGTTAGCGTCATATTGAAGTTATTTTTACAAAGTTAAGCTAAGTTTTAGAGAAAGCTTTCTATAAGGGTTTTGAGTTATGACTTCACTTTGATACGAATTTTACGGTTTAAAGATTACTAGTGGCTGCGAGTGACTAAAAGTGGGTTAATAAAATATATACGAGAGGGGACGCTTATACAAAGAAGTGTTCCTATACAACTTTTGTGTATTATTTTTTAGTAATTAATTCTTATAATATTCCCTGCTAGTTATTTTTGAATACATATGTCCAAAAACATCGGGTTTGAGGTAGTAATATTAAAGTGCAGTTCTAAGAAAAAATTTACAAGCTTACTCTAACAAGAGCAAAACATGAAATCTTTTACTTTTAAGTTATTTTCAGTAACTATAATAAATAATCTATTTATTGTTATGTTATATAGTTTTTTTATATTAATGATAATATGTAACTTTGTTTATTAGTTCTGGTGGGCACCGGATCTAGCGACCCGCCGTAATTTTTTTTATATTTTTTTTAGTTGTTCAAAATGGAGCTTGCTATCAGCATCTTAGGAGGTAAATCTTTTCTTCTTTTTGTTATAAATTGCCTTATTCCCCCTTCATGAAAGATCACTAAGAAAAACAGATTTATTTTAAAGAGTTTTATATTATTTTTTTAAATATTACTACCTTTTTTAGAAAGTAAATTGGTTTTTTTTTTGGGCTGCACTATTTTTATTATCACTTACTATGTTATATATGAAATTTCAAAGACGTATTTCACTGATTTTTAAACGAGTTTTTTTTATTATTACCAGTTAATAATAACGTGAGTTATCTAAGTGTAACTTTTTTGAGGTTTGACTGTTACTAGCTTTATTGTTCAAGTTATAATTATTTTTTTTTCTTATTAATATAAAAACCATCTATTTAATGTTATATATATGTTATTAATAGAAGAGTACGATTTACCGAATTCTCTTTATTCTGTAAAATTTCTCTTTCTGTTGAAGATTTCTTTAGTTATTTTACAAATTATTTGTTTTATTAGTTAACTTTATTAATTAATAGCTTTAAATTTTGTAAGGCCTTGGAGAGCTAACTTTGCCCTATATTATTAACCTTCTGCTAAATTTAAAGTTGTGTACGTTTATTATATTTGTGTGTATTTCAGTTTATTAAAGGTTTTTCATTGATATATTATTTGCAGAAGTTTTCACTTCGGGCCACTTCTTTTTTGCAAAACTGAAATCTTTTCAAGGCTTGGTAGTCTTACTGATCTCGTGGGGCTTCACCTTGAACACTTTCCGCGCTTCAGCAATCTTGATCCTCTAGCTTGCCTTAAGCCCCTTCAGTTGCAATTTATTCGTACATTTCTCTTTTTTCTCTAGCTTTCGCCAATACTACATAGTTTTTTAGCGACGGATATTGAACTTCGACAGCGAGACACTGCCGTACCTTATTCTGAGTTACACCTGTAAACTTCGAGGCATCGAGCCACTAAAGCATGCAGCAGAGGACAAGTTAAACTAAAGGAGTTGACTCTTGAAGCCAATTTCAATATAAGGTCGTTTTATAATCGGTCTACTTAAGTTTTCTCTAATATTATTAATTTTTTCTTTGAACTACACAGAAACCTCAAAAGCTTAACTACTCTTAACCTTGAGCTCACCGAGTTGAATTGCTGGTATTGTTCTCGTCTAAAGGAGGTTTTGGTTCTCCTTAACTTCGTTATTTTTTGCATGCGCAGAAATATAGGTATAAACTTTGTTATATATTAAAAAAAAATTTATTTTTATGAATTATACTTAGCAGTTGAACCCTGCTAATATTTACAACGTTTGTAATTTAACACAACTAGGCTTAAGAGGGCCCTTACGATTATTACTAAGACACTTATAAAAATATTCATATTTCTGAGTTCCTTAACAAATTTGTGTTTCTTGGATGACAGCGGGAATCCTGATTTTTGTTTAGACTCAGAAAAGTTCTTTACAACTTCTCTGCATCCTTTATGTGGATATTTTCATCTAATAAAGTTATTTTATTTATAAAAATTTTTTTTAAGATTAGAGGCAAATAATAATAATGAAATATAATTTTGTACTTTATTTAAATCAGAATGTCACAATATAAAATTTGGTATAATAAGAGTGGGCCTTGTATTAACCAATCTTGTGGGTCAACCAATTAGGACCGAAAAAGAAAGGCTCATCCCAGATAAGCTCTATTAATTTTTTACTATCTAATAGAATATACATAAATTTTTAAATAAGTGCACAAGTCAAGTCAATATGCTAAATCTCGGCCATTTCTTAAGGACCGTCTACGTTGGGGGGGTCGTTTTTATTTTCATAAGAATGAACATCGACAAGGGAATCGATCATCTCAACACGGCAAGTGTCAAATCCCGTGGAAATTAATTTACCGCCAGCGTGAACTGTTAAGTGGGTTAACTGGTCGGCGACTAAGCTGAGTTGCTCTATTTCTTCGCTTGGTGCTGCGTCCACCACCGAATTATGGCGTTTTCTTACTTTCGGTGGCACCACAAACACTTTAATATCTTTCAATATATACTCTAAAATGTCGTGGACAGCCCGTTGCTTGGGGTCATATATCGTCGGAAGCACTTTGCGAAGCTTTCTTGACCTGTATGCTGCAGAAGATTTCCAAGGGATTAGGGATTTCGGTGAGCGTAGGCCCATAATTTTAGGGCTTTTAAGTTCCACCTCCTGTTCCTCACTTGTAGTAACTTTTTCTTTGGGACTATTGGGATCGGTATATACAATACCTTCCGAATGAGAGTTATCTTCTAACTCCTCGTTGGAAATTTTTGACATCATCTTTTTACCAAGAAGAGAAGGCACATACTTGCGGTCAAGAGGTCTTTGCCTTCTTATGTTAAGTGTCTGAAGTGGGCTACAATAAAGATCTTTTTTTCAAAAAAAAATTCAGACTCCATAGAACTTTGTGCAAAATCCGAATCGATAACGGTGAAGTACCCAGAGAGCCACCAACTAACATATAACTATAATATATAAAGTATAGTGAGTCATTAAGAAAAGAAATTTGTAATATACTTAGTTGCCAGCTCTAGTAAAAATATTAAAAAATAATTTTTTTTTTAATAAAACCTCGTTACCTTGGAGAAAACATAATATCTTGTTTTTACGGAATTTTTTGAAGACCATTTCTTAAGTTTTTCCATTATTTTAACAAATATTTTTTCCATATGTTCGTCATTTACGTAAGGAGAAAATGGAAAAGTAAGAAGCTGGGTTTTTATTTTATAAAAATTTTTAGAAGTAAGCCCCCTTAATTGTAATAATACAGCAATGCGGATTTGGAGTTCTCTAAGGAGCACAAATAACCGTTCATTGTCGTTGTAATAAATGTAACTACTTAAACGATAGTTTAAAAGATAATTGACTTCTTCTATTTTAGTGGGTAGTGATTTATCATAATATGATTGCTTGTTTTTCAACTTAACAAAATTTTTTCCCTTGAAAGTTTTATCTGTAATAGTTTTCAACATTATAATTAATATTTCAATTAGACAATATAATATGTTGGCAGGAATAAGAAGCCGTCAAGAGGGAAAACAAAGGAGAAAAGGTAACGTGAATGACGATTGTCAGTGGTGGGAAATCTAGGGAGATTTCCACCTGCACTCAGTCAGGCGACCTAGCCAACCCTAAATTTCTTTTTCACTAAGTATGCTAAAAAATACAAAGCTAGGTGTTATCAAAAAATCTATTATCTATTTGATAATATATGGATATAACTACAAGTCATTTAAGTTTAAAAAATCGTAATATAGGTTACACAGACCTTGGTATACGCTCAAGTAATTAGTCGGGATCCGTACATCATTAACCTAAATCATTAGTTTGTAAGTATAATTTTAAATATACTTGTGTACTTAGTGACTACAAACATATGTTAACAAATTAAAAAAAAATTTATTTTATAAAATTTTCATTATTAAGTTTGTCCTAGTACTGAAGGTTTAAATAGACGAAACATAAATTATAAAAAGATTTCTAGGATACTCAGATGTTCAAGGTTTAGTCCTTGCTCTCTTTCTGGGCCCTCTAGAGCTCAATATACTAGTTAGCTATTCTACTATAGTAGACTGAATGAACTTTTCAAGTAACTTTTGTCTAATAATCTGCAAAGCATACTCGGAGTTACTACGTGCATCTTTCTTTTTTCGGAGCATTGCAGGGTCGAACGTGTGCCAATATACCTTTTCAAAACGTTTTAGGAAAAACTGACAAAAAATAAAATAATATTATAGGGGTAGAGTGTAGTAGTCGGGTTAGCGCCCTTTTGTTTGTGTATTTAGCGACGTTATTAATAGTTAAATAATTCTCGTTAACCTCCGCTACCTTATAGTGGGTGCTATAGCTATATACTACGAGTAAGATGGGGAAGAACTTTAATTCCTTAAAACTCCTATATGCTACACAAATTATTTCTTGAAATTGCTTATAACCTTTTTAATGCTGTTTGACCTCGTAGGTTTAAGTAGATGCTACAACTTTTTATAATTTTATTTAAAGCTTAGAAAAAAGGTTAAAAAACCAAAATTTATTGGTAGGCAAGTCTACAACTTACTTAGTTTCAATAATAATTATATCATCCTGGTCTAAGACTTCAAAAATGGGAGATTCCAAAGGTATAAGCGTGCCATAGATCCTGTATACTTTTTCTACGTACTCATTGGGTTTTTTGTCTTGGTGTTCTAATTCCAACATCCTCACAATATTCTTTAGCAACAGATTACCGGGGTAAGCCCTAACTATATGCTCAGAATTAAACAAGATTTGAAGCCTAACGGGTACTTTTGTCTTTTTAAAAGTTTTGACTTCTTCTGAAGTTGGATATAACTTAGATTCACTGGAAAATCTGTAATACAACTTTGACGAAATTATAAAAATTCCATTTTTCCTCCCACATTCTTCCAGAATGTGGTTCTGCAAAAGTAGCTGACCAAGGCGAAGCGCCTATATTTTAGAAAAAAAAATTAAAAACAACTGAGAGACCTTTTTTAATAAGTTACTGTTACAAGGCAAATATGGCTCGAGATAAAAGACGCTACGACTATTTGTCTTGAACAAAATCTTAAGCTTGATAATTCATACTTTCTTATACACTACCCTGCTCAAACTACGAATAACACCTACTTTTCACAACTAAGTATATAAGAGAAAAATTAAAAACCGTCAAGGAAAGTAGTTCTATTATTTTTTAGATTTTTTTATATAATATTACTCGGGTTGCGTACAAGTTACACTAATAAGGTAACTATAAGCACTTGTTATAAACGAAAACTTATTAAAAAAAAAAAAAAGTTATATTTGTATTACAACTTATACATTTATCCTTGGAGTTTCAGGCTGGAGGTACTCATTAACTAACCAAGTAGTTACATCTGTGCCACTGAAACAGTTTCTATAAACTGTATGTTCGATTTTCTTATCTTTTCTTGGTATACTAGAAAGCATTTGTTTCTCCAAAACTTGTAATTTTTGTTGTTCCTTTAACCATTTTTCAAAAGATATTTCATTGTTAGCGATAGCAATACTAGTATCGTGCTTATTTTCATTAGTTTTAAAACTAAGACTTAGCTTTGTTTTACTTTTAAGATTTGAAATTTGGGTGCTTACATCTAACTCTGTAAAAGATGGAGGGACCTCGAGGGTACGTCGACGAGTGAAACTCTCATTATTTAAGCTGCCTTTGTGTTTATTACTAATTGTTACCGTTGAAGTTAGTTTCGAAGGATTATATGTTATCCTTTTCTTATGAAAACCAAGTTTTTTAGAAAACGACTGTCTAGTCAGTAAACGGGACAAGCTTGATTTTTTGTTAAACTTTGTTTCCTGTGGGCTAGATTTAACCGAACATTCGCTATCTTTCTCAGCTGGGTTTTGGAGACTACTAAGTGCTTGCTTTTTATAACTATTACTTGGCGAGAGTTCCACCGAAGCTACACTCCTGTTCTTAATTTTAATTTTATCAAAAATAGGTTTGCTATATTTTTTAATTGTTACTTGTGGTGTCTTTTTCTTGTCCTCAGTACAATTGCTTTTACTTCGATCTTCAAGTTTCATTCTATAAGGTTTTATAAATTATTCCGAAGTTTATTAGATTATTGTAAGTTACAATTATGTAGAGCATAAGTATTAACAACTCCTCTAAGTTTCGAAAATTCCATTTTTTATTACTAAAGGGGTAGTAACAACAAGCAACCAAAAAAGGTTAGTATTATTGTAAGATGCTAAAAACATGTGTGGTTTTCGCTTCCGATTAATAATCTTAGTTCAAGGAAGTCCATAGTTGAAGGTTACCTTGCATTAAAGTACTGGCGCGGTTAGTTTTTTACTTGCCGTACACTTGTCATCTTACGCTTGTCATGTTTAGGAGTTTTGCTACTACATTTGTATAGCCTTTGTTCTTCATAAACTCCTAGGTAAAGGGGTTAATTGGTAAAGAACGAAAAATTAACCAAACTGCTTAACTTTCTATTTTCAGTATGTAGTTTAGTATAATTCAACATTAGAACTATTTTATCGTACCTTAGCTTATTGCGCACCTATTAGTTTGATTATGGGTAACTAAAGATTATTTAATTATTATTATTATTATCAAAGCAAATTTTTTTTCAATAAGTTGATACCCGTACGAGCTCGCTATGTCTGTAATAAAATTTAGGTTATCTAGCAATACCAGTACACCTATCTTGGAGGTCAAAAAACTTAAATTTTAAATAAAGTCAAAAAGTTAACTTTTTAACTAAATAATATTTATTTTGAAATTTAGTATGAAGATTCGAAGAATTTAATATAACGAAGAGCGCTATTAATCTTTAAAACAGATAAGTCAGTACTTAAGGTTCAGCACTCTTTAACGTATAAAGGGACCCATGGACGCTCTACCACCTCCGATGCTTCTTCTTTCTATCACATTAACACAGCAAATTGCATAATATTATGCACCTGCCTCCATACATTATTAATTTTCAACTCTAGGAGCCATAAACCTAAATTGTAAAACCCTTCTTACTTGTTAATTATAAAACAAGAAGATTCTTCATAATTTCAGTACTAATAATATTTTTTCAAGTTTATAATATGTTAAACCTTGAAGTAAATGCGTAAACAACGGCGTTTTAGAAAGAGATATTAAGATAAGTAGAGCTAATCTCTACCAATTGTTACTTAAACATACTTAAAAGGATTGGTTTTTCCACTAACAATTGTCATAATCTTTTAGAGTGCGAAACCTGCATACACTAGGATCGCTTTCTAATTCCATATAAAATTAATGAATTCATTTGACGTAAAGGCCAGGCTTATAATCCATTCAGACTAACTAGTAATAAAAAAAATTTATAATTAACATTTTAATAATCAAACTGACTTACGTAATATTTAAAAAATATGAAGTTAATATTAAATTTAAGTAAAATTTTTCAAAGAGAATAAGTCTATAACTTAAACACTTTGATGTAAATAAATGTAAATAGGATTCATAAGATATCAAACAGACCTATATTTACTTAAATTATAGTTTCACGGTTCCAGCTTAATCTTTTACCGAACTCTTTTTCCATGCGCCCTCACCACTGCGCCCCATAAAATAAATCACTTTAATCTCTAAACTTTAACCTTCACACAGAGGAAGATGATGCATTCTTAGAGCAAGTGTGAACTTAAACCACACCATGTATAATTAGAATTGTCCTGTTTAAATATCCAAACTAAAAAGGCTCCAGCAGGCAACCCGTACCCTAGCACACAATATCCACTATAATTGAATATTGATGCTAATAACAATTTTCTGGTATTTATTAAAGTTAGGTTTTTCTATATATAATCCTGAAACTTTTGTGCACTATTGAAATAAATATTTATAAGCAATAATTTTTTTATTTAGACAAGTTTAAAATATTATAAGTAATTAAAGCGTTATACAGGAAAGTAGGTCTTAAGATTAACGATTCTTATAGTAAAACGTGCAATAAATGTATAAAATATGTGCATAATAGTGTTATCAAATTTCTTGTTTAAAATAAACTATTTAATTAAAAATAATTGGGTACAATTTCTTATACTTATAAAATAAATACAAACCACTAAAGGTTTAAGGGATTCAAGTTTTAATCTAGAAATTCACTGTTAAAAATGTTTTGGATGAAGTTAACCTTGTTTAGTATCGACAAGTGATTTTTAATTTCTGAATAAGCTTTTTTGCGAACCTAAAGAACTCACAGGGTTATTTGGTTTACTATAGAAAATTTGAAAATGCTAAAGTAGAATTAACATTGGGGTTGTTGAAAATTATAAGTTTAAATTAAGAAATGACCACATACTCTAAGGCAAACAGTTAAAATTTTCTCTCTCTAAAGTTTGTATAATATAATAATAATTTCGCACAAAAATAATCAGTATATTTTAATATAACTTAAAATAACCAAGAATCGAATATTTAATACTTTTAAATTAAATTTGCGAGTAAAGTATTGCCTTTTAAAATATAATCTACTGCTAAGGGAAGAGTTAAACTATATAGCAAGACCGACCCTGCTAATTTAATTATACAAAACTAAAGCACATATTTAAATAATTTGATGTTAATATTCTATTTTACAGACAAATTACCAATAAACTAAAGAGGAAGAGGGAAATGACCTATAAAAATGTCCCATTAGAGAAATGTTTTAAAATGGCATGATGCTAAACTTCTTATACCTCAAAATTTCCAATTGCAAACTATTATGGGGACACGTTCATGTATTAAATTTTGGTTTCTCCATCATGTTAATGCAGAGCAGTTAATTATCTATATACTCATCAGGTGGTGCTCGCTGTCGGTTGAAGAGGAGCGAGAGTAGACAGGGTATTTGTAATATTGTTTTACTTTAAATATTTTATTATAAGAGTGGATGCTTACCTTATTAGGTTTTACGTCATAAATTACAAAACAGCAAATACTCTGCTCTTCTTCGCTTCTAAGGTTTTTCAATCCATCTTAATGAGGAAGTGCCCGCAATGAGTTTATATAGTTTGCTGGCGTTAATATTACATTACTATACCCTCACCTTCCTTTTTTCTACTCAAAATTTAGTGATTATAACACTACAGCATTATATAACAAATTACACAGAAATTTAATAAATATGACATAAAAATGCTATTTTGACGGTACGCCTCTTTTTTTATAAACAATTTTTAACAGCCTATCGGCTACACATTTAAGTTGGTAACAAAATATAAGTTTGAAAAAATTGAGTTATAAAACCATTGTTAATGCTACCCTTTAAATTAAACTACACTTAAAATGTGGTTTTTTAATAATATCGCAATTTCTTTAAATATAGTTTAAATTTCCAGTGCATCTATATAAAAACATTGCATATGGCCAATTACAACTTTAAAGACAAACCATATAAAAAATACTTTAAGAAATAAGAAAAATTAACGAGTGGTCGTCCTAGCCTAGCGGTGAAGATATTGACTCGCGTACACAAGGTTCGTGGGCTCGATTCCCACTGACGCGGCACTCTTTTTCAGTAACCTCGCCCTCATAAATTCAAATATAATATACACTCTTCGCAGGGTCTATTATGCTCAATTAGTTTTTTATCTTTAATTATGTGACAATTCGCTCTTGAAAAAGGTTAATAAGCAGTCGACTAACATCCACAGTCCTACTAATAAAAGATGTTTCTTTACGTCGCCTTTTATAGCTTCTGGCAATATAGCACACTTATAGTGCTTCACAGAACTCCTAGGATTTCTTCTTTTTTTTTAATATTCGCCTCTGTATTAATAAGCGATAACTTTGGGAACTGGATCATGAAAGCTTTATCATCTGCGGAACTTTATTTAGCTTGAACTTCCTCTTTCATCACAGCCTCCCAAAAGATTGCTGATGAAATATCCCCCTCTCAACTAATTTTTGCTTCAGAACTGTTTCGATTCATTATAAAAATTTGCTTAAAAGTGGCCCAATTCTCATTGAAGAGCGCACCCAGGGATCTTGTCAATTGCTTACGGTCACTAATTTTAGTCTGACTTGTCCTGATGCTCTATTCTAAAGATCAACAGGTTGATTCTAACCAAGAGGGTCAAAATGCCTTTAATTTTATTCTTTATGATTGTAGAAAATTCTTCTTATAAGGCCAAAAGCATGCTCTCCGTAATAACGGGCGTTCCAAAACTGCAGGGTTTCATTAAAGTTCTCAGCTTATCAGTCCCTCGAACTTCTCGTACTATATTAAACAAGGTCAGGGCAGTGGTAGAAATCATTGCATGCCAAGCTAAACCAATTTTTTCTCTATCTTTACATCGCACATCGGTTAATGCCTCGACGGCGTCGATTCTAGTTAAGTAAGACTCAATATACCCAGTCAGGCCAGTCTGCTTTGGTTTCAACTTCGAATAGAGGTTTGATTATTCATCGCGTGTTCAATCACTATAAAATACAAATGACTACTATATCAAAAAAAAATTTTTTAGAGTTCTTGGCTGTCGACCTGTTCAAATTATAATAGTTTGATACGACTGCCGGTATGCAGACTCTATAGGCTGACTGACTACGTCTACTAAAAACAGAGAACAGGAGACCAGCAACTGGAAAGCAAAAGCATTCTTTTTTTTTGTAACATTAGGGTTTATGTACATTCACTTGGTGATACTCTTAATAGAAACCCACTTTTAGATTGCGTTAACTTATTAGCATAATAAACAAAGATACAAATATGTAAACTGCATGATTTATTTTATCAATAATATTATATAGAGGTTTACAGAAGGCGTCAAAAAAAGCGAAGATAAAAAATGAACCAGGAACGAGTTCCTATAATAGTCGATGACAATGTGGTTTAATTTCTGTCTGTTGGTACTACGTTCCAGCATTAAACTTTTAAAATATATTATAAATTTAATAATGTATATCTAAACCCTTTATATTGTAAAAACTTTTTTTACGTCAATAATAAAGTAAAGAGTGGTATGACCAATCAATATAGGATACAAAAAACAAATGTTACTTGCGTATACAACGTGAGATGACATTGGGTGCAAAATTACCTTACCGAGTAATAGCTTTTAAAGATTTGCTTGCCTTAGAAGTATCCTTTTTCTGGCTAACTTTGAAGCGAGAGTTTCTCCCCTAAGGTTTTGTATCTCTTTTTTTTATGTTCGGGAAAAGGAAGGAAAAAAAGCACAAAAACACTACGGCACCTATTACTTCTGGGCCTATAGACACCAAAGAAAGGAAAGATAAAGGTTTTTTCCAATATTTTATGCGCCCTACGACCTCATACTTTGCTAAGAGGAAGACCAAAGAGTTGATGATACACCCAACACCGATCTCCTGCTTCAGCAGATGTGCGAAGAAAGCAACTTGACTGGCACTTATATATTTGCATATCGTTTTATTTATATTTCACGATTTTATTAGGAGCATCTGCTGCCAGTATATTTGCTTTACCCGCTAGCACGAAAAAGGAGATAATCGAGACTTACAAGAAACAGCAAAGCATAAAGGTAACATCTTTTGTTGTAACATTAAGTTGACTTCAATTAAAAGTTATTTTGCTATTTTATTTTTATTGAAATTAGAAAAAAACTGGACAGGATCATGCCGAACCTTCAACCTTAGTTGACGAGTTGAAAGATGCTGTTATCAATAAAAAACCAGACACAATTCTAGAAAAATTGTCGTTTACTGCGGCACTTTTAAGATCAAAGGAACTTGCGTACTATTATACGCACTCTTTTTATGCAGTTGTCTATTATTTGCTTGTTGCTGCCGTTTTAGTCCTAGCTGCTGTCATATTATTTAGCGGTTTACCTGCAGCTTAAGCCTTTATTTGCTTTTTTGTGCAGTTGGGTTAAAAACTTTGCTGAGTGTAACGGTCTTCATGTCTTGTGTAGCACGCTTCAGCATGTTTTTCAAAGCCAAGACGTATATTAATTTTTTTTTATAATACTATCTAATGTGATTGTCATAAAAAAAAGGTCGATTTCGTAATGCCTGCAGTACGAGACTCAGTGACTTGTCTCAAAAGTTTTATGAATAACAAAGTAACGAGGAGCTTTATTATACCAAAGTAATTTTTTATTAATTGTGGTGTGCAGTATGGTCTTGAGAAAGTTATTGAGTGTCCGGGTAACCAAGCCCTGCAGTTGCTTGCAATGACTCTGTCTTACCAGAGCATGCAGGTGGTCCCCATTGTACTGGATCTACTGTCAGGTACTTGCGTGCTTTGGGTAAGTTGGAGAATTTGCTAGTGTATATCATTATAACTTTAATAGCGATGTGTTTGTTTTCCAGTCGAAGCTATTCTCTTGTACTGGATGCAATGACTCATCTTAGCAAGGCTTTTTTTTTCTAAGAAGTTGTTCTATACTTGATGTTGATTTATTTCGAATTCAGCGTCTTCGCGAGCCCTGCCGTTTTTTTGTCCTCGTCCGAATGATGAAGGAAGTCGTTAACCTGCTAGCAGAGCAATTCGATGCTGATGAAGGAACTGCAAGTCAATATAATTCCTCCTCCATAATCTTTTTGGTTTCCTCTTTTTTATGTCCCTTATCGTTATATATTCACCGTAATTCTTTATTTAGACGTCTTGCGTAATATTCTTAAACCAACTGCTCAGTTGTGAGGATTTTGAATTGCGCATGCAACTTCGCTGTGAATTAACCAATTTAGCCGTGGATCCTTCTCTGAAAGTATTCAAATCATTTTTTAACTGAGCAAATGTCTTAAAGAATCTAGAAAATCAGTGATCTTGGACATTGCCTCAGCGGAAAGGATGGCAGAGGGGATATTCTACTTGCCCACGTAGCCACCTACAGGTGCGCCTTCCTATATTACTGCTTGCTCTCTGGCTGCTCAATATGCGCTAGAACCAATTTGAACGACGATCTAGCTGAGCTCTGCTCAAAATTGGATATTGACGAAATTGACTTGTCGTAAGATTTCAATAACATTATTACTTATTAGTTTTTATCAGTTTTGCCTTGGAAGGAACCGCGATGCGCTCTTTAGTGTGCTTAAAAAAATCACAACGGAAATTGGCGCTGATAAATACTTTTTGTCCATTTTGCAGAATTTAATGCTTATTCGAGATGACCATTCGGTTCGGTAAGGTGATGGCTGCTGTTTATTTTTCTGTCACCCCTTATTTTTTTCACAGACCAAAATATTACCGGTTGATCTCCCAAATTATGTCCATCGTAAGTTCTCTCCATAAGCGCCTTTTTCCTCGCTACTTACAACTCGGAAGGTGGCTCATCTGCCACGGCCGGGCGTTCCAGACACTAACCCTTTCGGCTTCGACGTTTACGATTTAATTGACTCTTATGTCAGTAAAGAGCGACTGGCTGAATTAAAGGAATCCGTAAAGAACATGACAAAGGTAACAAGTGTCTCTTCTTTCTCTGTGTTTTATTGGTAGCAGTAACTTTCTTCTAAAGGCGCTGGAAAATATTATAAAGTTGAAAATTGACACGAAAAAAGAATTGGAGCATTCTATAAAGGAGATGGAGGAGAGACTGGAGAATGTCAAAGTGGAGATTGCAGAGGAACGCAAGCGGTGTATTGAAATCAGTGAGAAAAAAGACGAACAGCTCAGAAAGGACGCTGAGGTTGCACCGTTTTCGTTCTCCTTCGCTTCTTCCTCATCATCACTATCATTCGCCGCTCTAGAAAGTTAAGGCTTCTGCCGAAATGGTAGCTTCACAGACACAAGAGGTGGAACGTCTGAAGGCTAAGGTTTCTTTATTATTTCTTTAGTTAAGCGTCTCGTGCTTACTTTTTATTTCGAGAGCAGTTGAAAGAAGCTGGATTTACCATCGACTGGGGAACCGTGCCTGTCATTAAAGGTCGCCTTTCTATATATCAAGTTGCCTCGCTCGCTGCTTTAAGCTCTTTTAACTTTTTTGCTACTCAGAGGAGGACACAAGACTAGCAGTCTCCGCCGGGCACCAGATTATCGAGGGCGCGTCCTCCAGCGGTGTCCCGCCGCCACCACCGCCGCCCCCTCCTCCTGGAATGGTGCCACCGCCGCCGCCGCCTCCAGGTACAACTACATCTCTAGACGGGTGGTTCTGACCCCCTCTTGAGCCCATCCTATTCGCTACAGGATTGGGCGTACCGCCGCCGCCTCCTCCTCCCTCAATGAAGGAGAATGTGCCTCAGAAGAAAGTTTACAAGCCCAAGCAGCAAATGAAGAGAGTGAACTGGAGCCAAATTCCATTTATGCAGACGAAAGTGCTGGGATTTCCAAGTCCTGAGAACTAGTTTCTAATAGCTTTTGTAGGGCTCTTTTTGGCAAAGAGTTGATGAAACACAATGGGAAAGAATTGTTAACTTTGAAGAGCTGGAGTCTCAGTTCTGTGCCAAGAAAAAAGTTCTTAAGGAAGGTAGAGACTTCGTGTTTCACCAATTGCATCTGCTGTTATTTCTCGTAGTGGAGACCAATCAGGCTGAAGCAAAGCCTGCGAAGAAAGAGGAAATTGTTCTTATCGATCCAAAGAAAGCCTACAATCTGTCTATATTTTTAGGAAGACTTAAGCTCTCTTGCGAGGAGTGGTATTTTATATTGCGAGTAATTCCTTTCTTCCTTTATTACCACGTTTGTACATTGCTAGCAAAAAAAATTTTTTGGAGGTGAACGAAGAGATTTTCGATGAGCAAACTCTTTCGACTTTTGAGAAGTTCAAAGCGGACCCGGACGAGGTCGCTAACCGCATTTTCATTAGAGCATGACCAGTGGTTAACTCGGAAACCTTGCTTTAGAAAAGGGCATTGAAAGAGTTCAACGAAGACTTTGAGTCCTTGAGTCTCGGAGACAAGTTTCTGTATACCATGACTTTCGAGATCCCGAACTTTGAGCAGCGACTCAAGTCTATGTTATTTAAAAGCAAATACAAGGAACTTTTTTCAGAGTTCGACAGGGTTCCCTTGTATGTAGTTGCCTTTCTTGGACACGCGCGTCACGTTTTTGCCTTTACAGGACGCCAAGTGTCTCCTGGATGCTTCGTTAGAAGTGCGAAACAGTAAAAAGTTTTCTAGTTTGCTGGAGGTCGTTATTGCACTTGACATTATTGTAGGTGTTAACTTAATTTAAAAGATTATTCTTTTGCTCGGAAACTACATGAACTCGAGCATAAAATCCGTCGGGCCTGTGCACGGATTTAAGCTGGAGTTTCTAACTAAAGTAGGAAACTACTATTTTTATTTCGAGGGAGACTTATTACGATTACTTATTCAGTTGTCCAACACCAAAACGGTAGACAACAGAGCAACTTTGCTAAACTTCTTAGCAGAGGTGATCGACAATAATTTTCCTGATATCGCCAATTGGTATGAGGACTTGCCCAGCGTGGAAGCTGCATCCAGAGGTATTTGGCAAGTGTTATTTCTTTCGGACATCGCTTTTCCACTGTTAATCGGAACAGCTGACGTTTCTGCTCTGGAGGCTCTTGAGCGAGAACTTAAACGAGGGCTAGACGCAGTGGAGAAGGAATTGCCCACTCAGGAGAAGAGTCCTCCGGGAGATAACTTTGCATCGGTCATGGGTGTCTTTCTCGCGGAAGCGCGCGAGCAGACAGAGAAGGTTCGGCATTGCTCTGTTTACTAATAAACTCTGGTTTATTGCTGGCAAGCAGGCATCGAGCATATTTGAAAACGGCAAGAAGAAATTTTGTGAGCTGGTGACCTACTTTTGTGAAGAACCCAGTAAAACTCACTCGGATGAATTTTTTTCAATTATTAAAAGTTTTGTAGACTCGTACAAGGCATATTATACTCATATGCGCCCGCTGATAAAATATCCAACAACTATTTTTTTAAACAAGGATGCTCGCACTCAGAATCGGGCTGTTAAGGAGAAAGCGGAGAGAGAGAAAAAGAAAGAAGCTGTACGTCAGCAGAAAGTCTTTGCCACATGCAAACTTATTACTTTTGTTTCAGGAACAGCTAGATAGGAAGCGACGACAGGAAGAGAAGCGGCTTGCCAAGGAAAACGCTGTTAAGCAGGCCAGCCAAAATGATGGCGAGGGCGTCATGGACAACTTGCTTTCCTCTTTACGTAGCGGCCACGCTTTTCAGAGGTCACTGTGTAATTTTCTTTTGGTGCTTATACATTTTATTATTTTTATAGAGTTGACGATTCGAAGCGGCCAAAGAGAGCACGTGTTAATAAGGATAACTCTGCTGACCCTTCATAAATCCGTCTAATAAACAAGCCGCCTAACTACTATATTTGATAGTACTTTCCATCCACAACTCGTAGGAAAGGGGTAAAAATTATGCGTCGCGGTAGTTCATGTAACCGTTTTTAAGAGCAGTGGCCTTATAAGCTGAAAGGTTCGTATGGAGTTTATAATGCCTTTAAAAAACTATAGTTCACAACTTAGTATGGAAATTACTTGTTAACCCGAAAGGGTGTATTATTCTTAATACTTAAGCGGATTTATTATGCAGCATCGAAAACTCAAAATTTTGATAATGACAGCTATCTAGTCATTCTTCCCCCTTGAACTTGTTCCATACAATGTATTCGGTCATTTAAGACCATTCACCTTTTTTTTTTTCCAATACGGAACTTATTTAGTTGGTAAAGTTCTTAGAATCATCCTATAAATTCTTTTGATGTACTCAATTCTTTACTGGTATCCGTCAGAGCGCCATTTTAAAGGTAAACCCTGCTGTTTACAACTATAGTAGGTTGGCTAGCGGAGGATCGGATAAATTTTCTACAGCCTTAGTTATTTACTATATACCTTCTTTCCTTACTGCTAAAAATTAATTTATGATGTACCAAGTAGCATCCATGCATTTATATATGGTTTAAGTTCGAACTCTGCTATAAAGTTAGTCTACGAAGTATAAAATTAGGATTTATTCCCTTGATATTATAAAAGGACAATCACGTACACACGCTCATTTTTAATATGGATTAGGCAATTACTTGTTAGTTTGTTCTTGTTAATTAACCCCTTATGTAATTTATGCATCCCTATCGGTCTTCAGCGACATCAATCGATGTCTCCGGGAGAGCTCGCGTCTAATCATGAACACCTCTTCCGGCGGTGGTTTTTAGCGGTTTTCTACCGGATATGTTTCCGTTACCTTTCAATCTTCATGCCGGTCAAGGAACTCTCCTAGTGGGTATACTGGTGTCCACTCGCCTCATATTAACTATGCGGTATGCGCTCAACTTATTGAGACCGCAAAAAGTCAAAAAAAAGTTGTTCTGTAAAGTGCTAGTCTTCAATTTGTTCTGCACGTCATCTAAAAGGGAACATAGTTTATAAATTTACCGTAAAAAGAAGGTAATTTAAGTAAGTACGCAACCCGCTTGCAACGGAATTAAAATGACCATTGATAAATAATAATGTACGGAAGAATTAGTGACCTATAAATTTTTAAACACCCCATCTTTAGAGTTCATCTTTAGAGTCGGTTATTAAATTTAAAGTAAAGGTAAGTTGCAATATTCGGAAAAGTAAAAAGTAAATCAATCCAAATATAATAAGTGATCTATCTAAGAGCAGTTAAGGTATAAAACCATAAGAATAGATGCTAAAAAAAATCAATATTTGGGAAGAAACTAGAAAAACTCTACATAACAGGCGCTTCTTTGTTTTAAGCTAGGGTAGGGTTATAGGGTTTTGTCACATTATAAAGGGGGTTTTTTCAGGTCTCCCTGGGGTTAGGTTGACTGTGGTAGGTGCTATGAGGGTTATACGTAGGAGTTTTGAGGGTTTAAATGTTTTACACAAAATGTTGTTAGGAGCACTCCCATGGCTTGTTAGTAGACCTCTGCAGATAAAATTGTTGAGGAAGGTCTCATTACTAAAAAGATATTTTTATAGTTAGCGAAACTATATGAATCCATTAATATACTATAAGATTTTATACTATTATCACAAGTCTATTCTGAAAGTAATATAAACCATTATCACCCGATAAAGCTAATATGAAAAATAACTATGAAGCTGAAATTCTGTATTGTATCTTAATTTTATATACAAACATTAAGGTTTTTTTATATCCTTTTTTAAATTTTTTAAAATTTAAATTAGAGTTAGGTAAATTATTTAATCCTGGTTTTAGGATTTTAAAAATCTTATCACTGTAACTTATGTGAATCGTTCTTTTTAGGTTTCTAAGGGAGTGTAGTTTCATAGCACTTTAGTGTATTACACTGTACGAAACAATTGTATATTGTAAGCTACACTAACATCTAACTTCAATTTCTTTTTTTGGTGATACGCTGTGTTTTAATGTTATTCTTCTAGGTATTCCTAGCAACCTCTTAATATTACTAGTTTTCAGTAATTGCTTTGGTTTTGCTAGTTTAAAATCTTTTTCGTTTTAAAAGTTTGCAAACTCTGTAAACTAAACTAACAGGTAAGAGACAGTGGAGTACAAATAGGAAACAGCTTTTGTTTTTTTAGTTAAATGTTTGCTCACAAAAAGATGGCCCGCTGCTGCAATAGTCAAATTTTGTGAATTGTTTTATCGCCTTTCAGTTGTTTTAACTTAGAAGGATATTCCATAGCGACTTGTTCACATTTAACTCAATATATCTGGCTACCGAAATATCCTCTGACTCTAGATTTCTCTAAGCTTTGACCTTAAAACTCCTAAGCAACTCAATATTTGTTTTTAATTTTTCTAAGTTTACAGTAGATTCTTAAACTTTTTAAGAACTTTCTGCTAAGGGCTCACAGGCAATTTCAGTGTACGCCTGAGATTTAGGTGGGGTTGTTGTGAAGTGTTGTGGTGCTCATTTGTATATATATCAGGCGAGCAACGCTATTACTATTAATAAACAGTTTTTATAAAACTTCGCTCAATGGAGCCATAAATTTTATACTATGCGAGTAGAGTGTGTGTTTTTTAACTTTTAAAGCATGCTTAACTACCAAAGCCTGTTTGCAAACTGTAAACCTAATCAGTTATCGCCTTCAGCAGCCTTTATTTACACTAATAACCGTTGCGAGTAAAGAGCGAAAATTCAGCCAAGTTACTCTTAAATTAATTAGGTTAAAAGGAAAACACATATCTATTGGCTAATCGTGCTATAATAGTGCGGTGTATAACAATAAACTTACTAGCGATTTCTTTAAGGTTTAATTTTTTATATAAGACGTAAATGCGGAAATGCGAATTCTTATATATGAAAAGATAAAAATTGATATATTTACAATTTCGGTTTTATTAAATCTATAGCTTCCTATAAACATAAAATTCAGTAAATAATTACCGCCTCTACATTGTCTAAGGACACAAATAAAAGCGCTATAAAGGCCTTAAACTTAAAAAATTAGAAATATAAAAAACCTGGCTTTTAGAATGGAAGGATAAAAGTGGTAGTTACTCAGTTCTTTATAAGTTAATTGACTACTTGGCGTTTGCTAGCCATATTTTAGTCTTTTGTCCCTCAAAACTCTATTATATAAACCGAATGAAATATAAGTATAAGCATAAAAATTTAGTATATATAAGTCAATGATATACAACTATAAAGTTGTAACAAGTTATTATACATATCAGTTATATTAGAAATAGAGAATACAATACCTTAATATGTAGTATTTCATTAAAGTTTTTTTTTAAAGAAATTAATAGTTAGGTTTTACAAAGATCTAAGTAATTTTTTATAAAATTCAAACTTAATTAGTTTTTTTAATTAACTTCTTGTTATTACATTAAAAATTCCAATTCTGTATGATAAATTTACGTATTTTAACCTGTTAGTTTCATAAATACTTTGCTATTACGTTCCTTGAGGGTAAAAGCGCTTGAAGTGGATAGTTATACAAGTGGAGAGTAGAGTAAAAACTAGATAGTATATTAAAAGAATTAATAACTACTTGGATCTTAGAGGTAGGGTAAATGACAAGTTGTAAAATGATTGAAAACTGGCTCATGGAAATACATTTTCATTAAAAACCTGCGGAGGTTAGCTGACAAAAAACGTTTAATTATAAGTAACTTGGCAAATTCGTTGTTTATTTATTTAGGGCCATACTAATATGAAGGCAGACTAACTTTACCTAAAGTAACCTAAAATAAAGAGAAATAAACAAGAAATCAATACATTCACTCATCAACGAACATGGAAATCCTTGAAATAATCCAACTCAGTTGTCGTGCTGGCATGTGATAGTGTTGTTCCTTGTGTTACTTATTGAAAAGAAGTACTCTTCACTAATTTCGTATTTAAAGTTGTGAAAGCTTTTTGGAAGCTGAGATGATTCTATGTTTGTTGATGAAGGGATGAATCGAATTCTTGTTTATTTCTCTTTATTTTAGGTTACTTAAGGTAAAGTAAGGAGGTTAAGTACTTTGACATCAAAGTAGTGCGCACTTCCGTACAATGTAAACAATAGTAACAGTACTAGTGCTGTTCAGTATTCAGTATCGTTCTAGGTAATGGGATAGGTGCTAATGGCTGAAGTCAATGTATGTTACATTCTACTACTGAAAGGAAACAAAAGACCCAATGAAAAGCTAACCCTTTAAGAAATTCAATCAATAGTTCGTAACTACACTAAATGTTAAATCCTTCCCTATAATGTATATCCGGTACGTGTACCCAAACCGATTAAATTTATATGCCGTTGTCGGAGGATACACTAAAGTTGCAAAGGCGAATTTTAACTGTTATGTAAGAAAATTAGCATGCGTGACCTTACGGGTTAGCTTAACTTCAGTGGCAAAAGTCCACGAGAATTTGTAAGTTGCTTGCAATTGTATTGGCAAGGTTTGAACGAGTTTCCTCAAATAGAAATTTGATGTTTTCCCACATAATAGCTTCTTGATGTTTCCTTTTCCCGTTTATGTTTTTTAAAATTTAAGTAATTAAGTATCCCTAAGAGAGGGCTTCATAGCACTCAGAACGATAGGAAATGCCGGATACTTCCTACGTTCGTCCAAACCATAACTTATAGTCTTTTTTATTAGAGAGTTCTAGTATGTACTCATTTTAGCAAAAGTTGTTTTGGTAATTAATTTAATGCACTCCATTGTTGTAAAGAAGTTCATGATGTACCGGAACTTTTATGATAAACCCTTGAGTTCTTAAATATACAAAGCAGTTGATTTTAATAAATTTGCGTCCATTAAAGTTTAATTTCGTAACGGTAACCCCATAAGTGTGAATCATAGACCAGCATTGGGCGAGTAAAAGCTTTATAAACAGGAATTTTGTCCCTAATCTAAAATGGCTTTCTCGGCATAAGCATGTACAATTATCTCACAGTTTGTTTTGATTTCTAAATGGAATAAGTGATATGTTCATCCTATTTTTGGTTTAGTATACATTACAACCCAAAGATACTTAGCTTCAAACAGCAGGATATTTCGGTGTCGTAAATAAGCAAACCTCCATCCGGTGACTTTCGCAATCTACCTAATAATAATATGGTTAATACTAAGTTTCTAGGCATAATTCCATCTTTCCTTCTTTAGAAAATATCTCTGTGATTGAGAGTAAACTAATTTGTAACTTTTAGAAGGTGAGAATAATGCTATTTCATTTGCAAAAAATGAGAGTTCATTGTCCGAGTGCCTTGGAAGGCCGGAAATGTAGTTTGAGAAGAGCATAGAGGCGAGAAATGAGCTCTGTAAAATACCTAAGCATATGTATGGCACCCGTGGAAGTAAAGAAAGAATCGCATTTCATAGGCAAATTTACTTTTGAACAAAGATGGTAGGATCGTACGTATCAAAGGTGTCGGCAGTTAAAGTCTACCTCTTTTAACAGTAACCCTAAGTGCCACTACTGCCCAAAGCCTTCTCAGAATCAAGTAGGAGTAGATCTGTTGCATTTTTTTTAAAATAAAAATTACTCGAGGCATATTTAATAATACAAAACAGTTGAAATGTAGTGAAAAGATTTTTCCTAAAGCTGAATTGTTTTTCTTGAATTATCCCATGGCAAGTGATTAAACATTAAAACAGTTTTCAAACTTTTCTTACTAGAAATTGAAAACTATTAGGCTTACAGTCAGCTATACATTGTGAAGTATGATATGCTTTAGGACGAAATATAATTGTGGTAAACTTCCAACGGTTATGGTTAAACGAGGGCTGAATTAATCGCTAAGAAATTTATACCAGACCTAAGTAGACACTTAAGGTTGGCGTTAGAATTTTATTCGAATCTGGAGCCTTTTTACTGTTAAGCTTTATAATAATATCGTTAATATCACTGACGGAAACGGGGCCAAACAGGATGATTTTTGGAAAGGAAACTCGTAATTTCATCAGCCATACTTGTTATAATAGGGTTACTTAAATATATTTTATAGTAGAAATTAAAGTTTCCAGATAAATAGTTTTTAAAGTTTTTAGCCTCTAAGGGTTATCATATATTAGACTCACGTTTGTAAGAGGCGAGCACTGAGGGTTCAAGAGAATTTTAGGTTTTATAGCTTTACGCTTTTGTTATCTTTTTAGTTTAACAAGCAATATAATTTAGGAGTACCCTATGAGATGAGAGTGTGCCTACTTTTTTAACTCTTTTCTTTTATTAACAAATTCATTAATCTAACATTTAAAAGTATCAATCTCAGCATCTATACCTTGTATATCGGGAATTAAATGGAAATTTTTAAACCTCCTGTTTATCTCATAATTTAATTTGTTCCAGTTATCATAAACTAAGGGCTCGCAGTTAATAAGGTAGTAACTATTTTTAGACAACGGGGCATGGTAATTAGTAACAAAGTAGTATGGGGAGGGATAAATGAGTAAGTGTACGAGAGCCAATAACGGCTAGATACTTTGGGTAACCAAAGCTTTTGAGGAACCGGCCATCTGTGTTGGTAGACTTACTACTAAAAAGGATGTTATGCATTTAAGTTAGCGACAATATTCACATACTCCGAAGTTTAACGGTGGTGTCCAGATCAACTTTATTTAGTTTCAATTGGCGAGGTTTACAAGCTATGGTATTTTTCTAAAAGGCTAGGTGGATATTGCAGCACCTGCTGATTCAAGGTTGTTTAGCAAGGCCAAGATTTGAAGCGAGTTCGCTGATCAAAGCAACGTCAAAGTTACCGTGTGCGATAGAAAGAGACCGTTAGCATTTTAAAGACTAATTTTCAATTACGCAAGTTATAGATGTCGTAGGGAGTCAGCTTTAAGGAACTGTAATAAGTTTTTTAAAAATAGCGTTTGATCTGAACGACTAACTTGCTAGGTGCATCTTAAATTTCATTCGTAATACGCGGTGACGTATTTAACGGGTACACGGTTGTTTAGGCAAAAATTGGGGTGGCTTAGTAATCTTAGAGTAAAATATAGTTGGGGCACGATAATAAGCTGGATAATTTGGTACAATAAAGGGCTCAGCTTTAGGATACGAGCGTCTTATGGACAGTTTACCAGGTGATGTCCATTAGCTTGGCTCCAAAACACTGGTTGATAACTTTTTGTTGCAAGAATTCAACCGCAACAAGTTGACAGATTGTAATAATATATATGGTTATTTTTGTTTTAAATAGTATTACAAGCACATTAAAAACTTTACGTTAGGGGAATTAATTCATTCCAAAACTTCTATAGAATTGAAATCTTGCTTCAGTAAATCCTCTTGAATACGGTAAGGTCTATTCCAGTTCCGATCATAAAAAACTTTTTTTTGGTGCTTGTCTTCAGGGAAAGAAAACGTAAAATATTCGCATTGTGTGGTCTCAAAAAGTTTAATTATTAATTTGGTAATTGTTGGAAAACCCCTTAAAGGTACTGGTTACTATGTTTACCACTTTTCATCCAGGTTCAATTTAGTGAATTCGCAGAAAAAAACAAATCTGCTTTATGCCCTAGAGTTTTGCCCTTTAAAGGGTTAAATGGAATATATAGAATCAAATTTTGAAACCACATATTGAACTTCTGAGTATAGTTTCATCATAGAAAGTGATATCGCAGAAAAAAACATATCGTTTCAAGCCCGAGTTCTGACCGTTGCCAAGTGATATATATTAACAGCTTTACTGATTAAAGTTTATTTTAAAATAGTCTTCTGTTAATTAAGGAATACTCTTTTTCTTTCTAATTATTAAAAAGAGTATTCATTCTTACTCAAGTCCGGACTATTAGGTTTTGTTTCGGTAAAGGCTTTGTTTCTTGTTCCGAAGATATATCGTCTTCAAGAGGGAACTCACAAAATAGGTTGGTTATTGCATCTTTGGGGGACAAGATGAAGTAGGTGTTTTATTAATAGAATTTGCATCTAAGATAGATTTCATCCTTCGCTTCATCTAAAAGTTATCTTTAGGAAGTGCCAGTTAGAAGAGGACTTACATCTGCTGAGCTGCGCCTTGGGATAATCTTAGCAACTAGTTGCTGAATAAAGAATGGTTCGACGATATTTATAATATTTTTTCGAAAAATAGATATTAAACGTTCTTACTAAAGAGGGTGTTAAACCTACATAAATTAAACAGCGTTTAGATCATGTTTATGGCGATGTTCAGCCATTATTAGCCACAGTGAAAGAATGGTGAAAGTTTTTTTAAGTAGAAACTTAATGGAAGATGACCCAGGTCAAAGTTATTAAAGGGAAGGAGGGATAGATAAGACTTCGAATTCATAATATAAAATGAAAGATATAAAAGGGAGGCACTTTATTTAAATAGGCCTGTGGTCTTAAGGCCTCCGTTTGAGTTTTTAAGTCAATGGTTAATAAAGTTATATTAACCATTGTAGATTAGAATTAGTTTAAATACACTGCCCATATTAGATAGCAAGTTATTTATTTATGCAACCATCATAATCTGGGGAAAATAAAATAAAATAAATGCTCATATTAGGTAATTAGTTAAGTATTTTTGCGATTGTAATTAATTAAGGTTAAGTTTTAGACCCCAACAGTCTACTTTAAAAGTAACGTTTGCATAGATTTGTTAATATTTTCCATCAATAAACTTGCAAACTGATGTAAGCTACGATATAAAAGGTGAACTATTTCAGTGATATGCTGGGCTAAGGCATCGTTATGCATTTGTAAGCATGAAAGTGGAGCCCAAGTTATAATGTAATTAAAAAATAATTAACTAATTCCTGGTTCACCAATATGCTCGAGAATATGTTCGAAATGGGTAAAGCATAAGCAATAAAACTAAAAAAAATCACTGATAGAACCAATGACTAAATGTAATTTCCTCGATCAGAGCTTCCATCCTGCATACATTATTAACTTGCCCAGCCCAGTGCCGCTACCAAACGTAAGATGCAAGTATGACAAACCGCCGCTCGAGGAGAAAAGAATAAAATCACTCTGCGCTGCTGAGGAATAATAATGGTGACAAACTTTTTTACTGTTGGGCCACGTGTTGTAATATGCAGTAAAAACTTATTGATTAACTATCGCTCAAAACTAGTTTTCTGTTCTTTAATGTCATAAACCTTATGGCTTACCATTACAATCGTTAGTAGAGTTTTCATTTTCATTTGTTATAGGTGTACAAAGCTTTTGTTTTAACCTTTAATACATTTATTATTCTGGTGTTTTAAACCTCTATAAGTTAATATCAATATCACAATTTTTTATAAATTCCCTAGAAAAAAAAGAGGCTTTTCATTTACCTAGAACTGAAAGTAGCCCTTATTTCCCTCAAGTTATATATACCCCTGGAACTGTACATTTGTTTAGTTATTTAAATAGTTTGGCGAATCCTTAAATTTCTTTATAGGTCGCTTCAGCTTCTAAACACCAAGCTTTATGGAAAGCACAAAGTTCCCTTTGTTCACCAAACGAAGCTATGTATGTCTTAAATTTAGCTAGTTTTTTATCCTTCTAATAACATGTAGAGATTGTGATAGGGACACTTTCAGTCATAATGCTTCCCACGTTTCACCGTTAAGGCAACCTTCAACTACTTCTAAGAGAATGTAGTTTTAACTCTTATTTTCGTTTATTTTATAACTATATAGAAATTTTGCCATGCTTAATATAGCCCTTTTTCTGGAAAGATACCCACCGATTCTATTATGGATGCTGCCCCTCATGACACGTTAGGCTCTTATAACGGTTGTGTGTTAGCCGACTTCGGTTTTCCTGAACCTTTAAGCTTGGTATCTACCGAGCAAGATTTAAATCTTACAGCTTATACTGAGCATAAGTTAAGGACGACGTAAGTTTAGTATTTTATTATTAACTGACAGCTACTTACTATATAAAGGGAAGAGGAAAGTGATGCACTTAAAACAGTTACAATATATGGCTTTTCTTTGGAACATGTGTCTCGGGTTTTAAAGTATTTTGATCAGTATGGTACCATAACAGATCATTGGCTAGGACCTGATGGAGGTAGCGTTTACACTGTGCTTCTTATATAGTCCTTTTTAAAGTTTTTACTTTTAGCAAACTGGATTCATGTCAAGTTTTCTTCTGCCTCTGAAGCGCAGTTGGCCTTGAGTAAGCACGGCAACGTGATTGGAAATATAATGATTGGGGTCACGCTCTATCAGAAGAAAAATGTATATTCTTATTCTTGCCTTTCCCCTTTCAGACTTAGCCCTTTTAGGATACTACTCAAAAGTTAAGATTCACGACAGCTTCTCGCCCTTCTGTTGTCAGTACTGTAAAAGAGCGTCATATAGTTAATCCCCTTAAAAATTCTCTCAAAGGAAGGCAGATGCCTTTGTATTCTTTTCTCGACGCGCTTGTGAGCTTTTTTGTGTCGTAGCATTTTCATGTTTGGTGGTAAGAAAATCTTAATAAAAATATGCGGTTTTTGTCTTAAGTGAACAAAAAGGCATTTCTTGCTTAAATTTTTATAAAATTTTAGCTGTATTGCTAAACTTTTTAGAGCTGTGTATCATGAAGTATTTTTGTAGAACTACCTCACTCAAGCCACATAAGAGGAACTTAAAGGTTTGTTTAAAGTGCAATCTAAGGCTTGCAAAGTCTATAAAATTCATATGTAAGGTAATTAAGTGAACGATGCGAATAAAAGGTTTGCTTTAAGGCAAACAAAGTTTACGCTAGGGTTTTAGAGTAAAAGCAAAAGCTACACGTCAGGGTGGTTGAAAACTACCTTATAACTGTGATAAGCTGTTTAGCGTCAGGATTTTTGCAAGCACTACCAACTTGCCACCGTTAGCTATAAAAAAAGAACAACCTTTATTTTTAGAAAAAGGAATGATAGCAAAGCTTTTAACGAACGTTCATTCATTTAGAAAACACTTTTAAAGGAATGCGATAGCTCGAAAGGAAAACTTAGTATCTGTCGACAAAATGGGATTTTTGTTAACGAGGGTGAGGTTTGGAAATTCCTCCCCGGGGGATTTACCCTCTGTCGGGGTGAAAACAAGAAAATTGACTTAGTTTTGGCTCCTCAAGGCTCGAAAAGTGTCGGCGTTTAATAAGTTCTTTTGCAGTAAATAATTATTAATTATAAAACTTTAAGTGCGCCCTTATTTCAAGGGGAAGCAGCTAATTAGAGGGGGGAGGACTGAACCAATTCTAAAAATTGAAGCGTTTTTTAACATAGAAAGCTTATAGAAGGGGGTTGAGATCAACACCCCTCCCTACTTCATAACCTCTTTCTTCATCTGCCCGAATAGGCCTTTATAGTGACTTGGTATTTTTTAAAGTAGACAAAGCGAGGGGTTACTTCACGGAATGTCAACACACAACTCCGTCATCATTTCAAGTAATGGTTGGAAGCATCAAAAAAAATGGTGGGTTGCAACAGTGAAGAGTATCAACCTTTTCTAATAGTCAGAAAATATTTGCCCAATAGAAACCAGAACATCTAATAAATTCCCCAATTACGCACTTTACCGGCATGACAGGACTTACTCGAGAAAAGGAGATGGAGCAGTCATTTAGCTTACAGCTGGATGATAGGGCGGCACTAGTAACCGAATTCTAAAAGAATTTTTTAGCATAAAATTTCAGCGCGGCCGCTTCTGAAGTAGGACGCACCGGACAATAGTTTGTAAAACATAAAATCCTAGATTGCATGGCAAGATTAACCCAAAAACTGTTTAGTACTGGTAAATAGCACTAATAAGTGTTAGCAGATCGGTCGTTATTTGATAAACGTGCTCCACCTAATCCCTAATGGGACCTGAATCTCTTGCTAAATTACTCCAGTTTTGTTACCTCAATGTACAACGTTTGTGGGCTCTCCACTAGTACCAGGAGGTAATCTTGGTTCTTTCGAGGATTTAACTAAAGAGCTTGTATAGGTGCTGACCTTGGCTATACTTATTACGCACGCCAGGCTCAGAAGAGCTATTAAAAATGGGAAAAACTATAGCTGGCAATAGTACTTGAGGGAGATATTACGTCCCCTGGGGGGTCCTGCAGCTTAAGCTATAACTACTAAAAACTTCGCTTTTATTAACAATAGAGAGAAATTACTATAAAAGGATTATATCATTCGATAAAAACTCGTAAATTGAAAAAATGTAGTGGTTAAGACTGATCAAAATTTTTAGCTTTTTAATAAGTATTATCAATTGTTACTGGAATTTCTAGTCCGAAAATATGTTTAATAGCATTATATAAAATGTAGGCATCTTCAATTACATTTTATTTATTATCTTATCACGTTACTAGGACCTGATTAGAGTTAACTAAATATTTTTAACATTTAAACAGTAACCTACTATGAAGGATAACTCTAATATATTACGTAATCCTTATTATTTTCTATTAAGTTCATTTGGAACGTCCTACTTTTAAGTGCACGCTGCTTAACCATTGATGCCTTCCAAGTTTTTGTCACAACCACCGTTCTCTCCTATAAATGTTGGTTTAGATACTTTTTAAATTATGCAGGCAGTCACGCAAAAAGATCTATTTAAGCTTATAAGCACGCTATAAGATTATTTATACTTTGCGAAGCGTTACTTTTAGTTTATATTGCTTCGGAATAATTTCATATGACCAAATCTGTTTTTAATTAAAAGTGTAAAGTAATCCAGTAAGCTACTTTTCCTCCCCTTTGTATAACATTTTAGTTAAGGCACCACAGTTTAACTTGAGGAATGCACACAATTAGCTATTGATTTATTAATTATTATAAACAGCTCAAATGATAATATTAGAAAATGAGACACACTTCGTAAAAGTTACATTTAGGAAAGAAATACCTAGTCCTACTTATAAAAAAAATTAAAGCTAGCAAAATCTGAAGTTAGCTTCACAAGATATTTGCAATAGTATTTTAACAACTCTGAGAATCTAGCCTACAAAAATGCCCTTAGGCTGCAAGAAAATCCAGAATGCAAAACAACTTTAGTAATCAACTTAACACGAAAAACAAGGAAAACACTTATTCTTTTAAAAAAAATACAAAATACAAAAAAATTAAAAGCGAAAAAAACGTATAAAGCACGAAACTTATAAAATACAAAAAAACACAAAACCCAAAAAACGCACGACATAAAACACTAAAATATAAATATATTAACACAAAAACAAAAATTTTCAAGTTTGTGTCTACGGGCGCGTAACATTTTCCTGGTGCTCGATCGAGTTAACGATTTTTAATATACGGGCTCTCAAACCGGTTTTTAGTCGTCCACCAGTACAAAATTATTTTAAAATGTGCCCTTCACCTTTGATCTAAAGCCCTAATTATAAGCTTTCAAGCGTCATGCTAAGAGTGCGTGGCGCAGACGGCAGTATTGTGCGCCAAGGCAGGAAGTGTGTTCAGCTATCCGTCCTTAGAGGGCGAAGACAGCATTTTTAAAGATTGTGGTTATCAGGTAAATCATTAGTTCGTGGTGAAGTGTATCAGATTTTGCGCATAAACCACGACACCTTTGTTGGAAGACGCAGCAGTTTATTTTTTGTTGTACTTAAGGAGAGAACAATATTGCCGATAAGCCGTAGGCCCAGGAAGATTCATATGTCATAATCGACCGAATGCAGAGCGCATAGTCTTCGCTTATTGCGGAAGAAAGTTTACTTTTGAGGCGCAAGAGGATATAGCATCTGGGTCGCTGCCTCGACCCTCGCCGCCACGTAATTCACGTGTGGAAGCCACAACAGCTTAGGATTTATAAATGGCCCTCAGGTATTTAAACCTGAGAACAAAGGTATTCGCAGCGCATGGCGTTCATAGGTTATAAGATACACCTTGCTTTTTGCGGTTTTAATGGAGAGGCCCCATTGCCGCCACCAGTTAGCAAGCGCGTCGAGATAAATTGTGGATGAATCTATCATCGGCGTAAATGGCGCCCACGTGTGAGGGTGAACTGGCGGATGAATGTCATTCGTTTAGAGCGCGAAAAGCAGCGGTAATAGAAGAGAGCCTTACAGGTCTCCCACTGTGCCATAGAAAGAAGTCGTCAGTGGAGCGCCTCCTCGCACATTGAAAACACGGCCCTTTGGGCATTATGATATATGTATGTGGAATGCTCACAAAATTCGTTTCTTTTCACTAGGGGTTTGCCCTGCTGGGCTTTGTGCTACCCAGAAACCATTATATCGTTAAATTTATTCACATAAATTATTACCGTGTTTAAAGTTTTTTAAATAACCCTCTATTATGATATTTTGTAGGCTACACTCTACAATTACTATTATAAAACATAGATTACAGTATACCAATTTTAGAAGTTTAAGACTAATGAAAGCTATTATGGTTTTTGTAAAATTACGAAAGGACATAAAGATTAATTTTTTTTTGGTGGGTATAGACTAACACATACATATAAAAATCGTTCTACCATTTGTAAGAATATAATACAGCTTGTAAAGTGGTCAATAAAACAGTCTTTTCGTAACACGTTTTACTATTACTTTGTTTTTTCATAAATCTTTCAGACGCATTTAACATATTTATATATATTATTTGAATATATACATTCATAAATTTAATTTATTTACTTCAATTACCAATTTTGCTGCGCCATATAATATACACAAGAGTTATAAGAGTTTTTAAAACATTACAAATTAACAATTTTTTTTTAATTTGAAAAAATTGTAATGGTAATCTTTTTAAACCGAATAATCCATTATTAACGAAAGATGTAATTTTGTGGGTTATTGGACAGGTTTTGTACAACGTATAATTATAAGACGCTCGCGCGACTTGAGAAATTTAAAGTACATCATGTAATGTCATTAGGGGCTAATAATACCCGTCTTAACCACATTAAAATAGTTTCTAAGTTTAGAATATAATTTTTTGTATAACCCCTACCTAACTTTATTCGGCTGTAAGGGTAAAGCAATTTAACCTGTTTCTAATTCTTTCTTATATCCATATTTTTGGCCTAGGAGCTATAATTAATTTATTAAAACCAGGTGGGGGACTGAGGGTGAGAATTAAAAATATTGAGAACTAATGAATGCACAAACTTATCCACATTTTTAAAAAAGAAGAAATGTTATTATATAACATGCAACTTAAATTTTGCAATATTAATAGAATAAATGATGAAAGTATTTTATATTACTGGCCATGCTAATTTTTTTGACGGGAAAAAGGCTAAGCCCACACTTAGAAAGTACTTAATTGCGGTGGGTAAGCTAGACTTAGGAATAAGATTATATTTGGTAAACAAAAGTTAGGGTAACCAAACAAAATGAAAATAATTGGGAACATATATTATAAAATCGATATTAATTTATAAATGCAGCCTAAAATTTGAATAACGCACTAAATTTCACACTTTAAACACCACATCTACTCTACAATCCCCATTAAACATCGTATATATAAACATAATTTGTAA